CCGGGATTAAAGGTGAGGGGTCAGGAGGGGGGAGATGGCGGCACTCGAGAATGGGGGGGGGGGGGCGCGCCGAAATTCACGTCATACAACCGATCGGCGGCTATAGAGCCGCTGATCGGTTGTATGTGAAACAGCCGTTAACGGCTGTAGTAACGAGCGGGTCTTTCCTGCCCGTGCGCGCGCAGGGAAAAAATGCCGTCTGGCGACGGCAACCCGCAGATGCGAGTCTGCCGTCCGTTTTTTCTTAACGGGCGGACGGCAAGAGGTTAAAAATGACGTCTGAAATGGCAAATCATTTTTTATGTTAATGGAATCTCTCTATTATGTTATACTGTATGTGGCTACTTATTGACAAACCTTGAATTCAAATATGATGGGTGACTCTCTTGTTTTATAGAATCTCTCTAATATGTTGTATGTGGTTGCTGATGAGTGGATCTTGTTAAATGTAATGGGCAAATCCCTCTAAGTCACAGCCTTCCACATCAAAAATGTAGCATTCACATTCAATTGGCATTGGAGTAGCAGGGCTAAGTGGTGACCATTTGCATCTCTCTTTTTCTTGGTGCGTGTATGTCAGGGGTGCCCATTAGGTCGATTGCGATCTACCAGTCGATCGCAAAGCGAACACTGGTAGATCGCGATCGGCTGTGTCCTGTCCTCCCGCCATGGGGCTTCTCCTCTGGATCCCCGCTGCTCTCCCCCATAGCCATGCTGTTATTTAAAAACTAGATCTCCAGATGAAAAATTGTGGGCGCCCCTGGTGTATGTATATACAGTGTGTGTGTGTGTGTGTGTGTGTGTGTGTGTGTGTGTGTGTGTATGTATGCGTGTAGATATGATAGTAGATGGATACCTGGAATCTCACATCTTCCTCCACAGAAAAGGAGTTTTATCCCTCTTTCTGCATTTTCCGTAAGATAAACATAAATGTCTAGGAGGGTGACACATCTGTGTATTATCTATGACTGGTGGCATTTTGACCTAAAAACATGATCATTAAGGTACATCACATTAATGACCTCTGTTTCAATATGATGCAGCAACTTTTTAGACTACAAAAAAATGATGGCATTTCACTCATGGTATCCTGGGGGTGTTCTGTACAGTGTTTGAACACCCACATAAATCTAAATTCCTACTTGTGTGATTGACTCTTTGCTTTCTCCAGAAGTCTACACTGAGGTACAAAAAGTTTCATTGAATATTTGGTGATGTACTCGCTAAGGCATATCCTTCTCTAAAGGGATACAAATCTTGCAGCCTTTCTCATTACAACACTTGATTGTACCAGCTTGTTATAATGAAGGCAGATCATCCCATTTAGAGGTTGAGAAAGGACAGTAATTTCTTCAGATCCAGAAAATATGAATCTGCAGAAAAATCTAAAATTCTCACAAATTGTTTTAATAAAACATAAACCTTACTACACATAATTCCTATATTGGGGTTTGCAGAAGGCATATATTTAGAAGTCATAAAACCATCATTTATTATGTACATAGTTTAAACATCTAATCATTCAAAGCTAAAATGTAAACCTAAAAGGAAAGTCTCTATTATTACTGTCCTCTTACAGACAGTGTTCTTGCTTGGCGCTCTCTGGTTTCAGCATTTGAATCTGTACTCCAGAACGAGTACGCAGCAAAGAAACGGGGAGCTAGACAGAGTTTTAAAGCCAGTGACTCACTGAAGCCTTCCAAACAGCAGGACAAATTGGCAACTAGCATTTCAGAACGGTAGTTCAGTAAAGGCAACCCTCCTATCTCTCCCAATTAGGGATGTTCAGATACCAAGTACCGCACTCGGTACAAGTACAGATACTTTTCCAGCTCCTGGACTAGACTAGAGAAAAATTCAAAAGTTAGGAGGCAGCTGTCATTTTTAGGGAGCATACGGAGCTCCTGGGATTTGTACATCCCCATTTTAATGCATTTTTTTTTTAAATAAATATATATAAGTGATGAACCGATACCATTTTTACAAGTCCTCACAGATACAAGTACTGATACAGTTTTGTTTATTGTCATGTGACAGTTTTTCTAAAACAATAAACACTAATGATTTCAGGACAGTGGTGGAGAGCCAGAGCCAGGTCCCAGCTGCAACCTCTGCAATCCTGGTAGTTTTCGTGAAAAAGTATCGGCACTGGTATCTGGACATCCCTACTCCCAATACAGGTTTCCTTTAAGAATGCCCTTCCTCTCTGGTACAGTTGATACTCTATTGTGAGCTATTTAGAGCAATGAAAATGAACTAAGATGATTTCTCAATTAAATTGTGCAGTGTTGGTTTTATTCTAATATAGAATATGGATAATAGCGCTCTTTTGTTTAAATTAGAGGTACAGTGTAACACCGTTGGACCATAAAACACTAATAGGCCTGTTAGAAAGCAGTAAGCTGCTGTATTTGCCATTTGTACTAATTATTTTACACTCTGTGAGCACTTGTAGTGCTCTTATCATGAACAAGGGTGTGCTTTACATTCTGTTTGAAAGTTTAGGACATATGCTTTATAACACGTGCTGACAGGAGAGAGAATAGCTTATCATAGCTTAGTAATAATGAATTCTGGATTTGTTTCAACACAACCAACTGTATGTCTTCGATAGCCAGGAAGGCAAAAGCTGCAGAATGGCAAATGTTCGTCTTTTAGGTCTTTCTGTTCTCTGTTTAATTAGTGCTATCTGATTCATTGAATAGACTTTTCCACATTCTTGATTTATGTATCTCATTTTACGTACTGTTCCAATAATAATATTTTTTTCTCTTATACAGCGTACAACATCACTCTTTAGTTTCAGCTAAATTCTGTTTTTTATTAAGAGACCACTAAAGCCCTGTCCCCACCCACTGTATCTAGGTTTCATTGAACCAGGGGCATTTTCTGCATGCGGTGGGCTGGTGTGCAAGATCATAGGTGTGCCCCCTTCCTCAAGAAAAAGAAAATGCTGTGTGCTGTAATAAAAGTTGGGCATGGTTTGCATTTCACTAAATATTGGGTGTAGCTTAAAGGGGTGTGGTTAAATTGAATCTGAGACGAGTTGCGTAGTATAGAATGATGCAGTGTGGAATAGGGATTGTACAGCACAGTATTCAGAATGAGGCTGCATGGAATATGAAATGTACAGCACAAAGCACAGAATAGGGCGGTGTGGGATAAGAAATGTACAGCACATTGTAAAGAAAATGAAGTGGTATGGAATAAGAAATATACAGGGCTGTGTTAAAGCACGTGCATTGTGGTGTAAAAGACTCCTTATAAGTAAAATACACCAGACCCCCAGTCAGCCAATCTGAGTCTGTATACAGTAACCCAACCCTTTGAATATTGTTACATAGTTAGTCAGGTTGAAAAAAAGACACAAGTCCATCGAGTTCAACTGAAGAATAACAGTGATTGCAAGGTAGAAGGATAAATCATTTATCCTTCCTTCTACTATTCTGTTTTTACTCAATCACAATAGTCATAGGGTTGGGTTACTGTAAAGTGGTCTAATATGTGACTGGACAGACTCCTTATCATAAACCCTAAATACCTTTTTATAAGTGTACCCTTCTCCAGCACTGTTGGATTAATCTTTTGTACCACGCTCTGTCCCTCACTGCCGCCCCCACCACTGCTGACAGGTATCCTCACATGTGCACAGGAGTTACATTCTCCCTGGCATTGGGCCCATGTACACTGCCAGTGAATGAAATATAATGTGCGAATTTGACAGGTTTAGCTGATAAGTTCTGGCATAAGAACATGCTTCTCCTTAGATATAACTGAAAGGCCCATAGGAGCCACACAGTGGTTGTCCATTATAGTTTGAAACCATACCTTTTGGTAAACTCGGGCTATATGCGGACACGGCATGGGTTATTGTTGTACTGGGTCTTGTCATGCTCCGGGACATGCAACACGTTGCACTCAGTGCAGTTTTTGCCTACCCTGATCCATGTCTGCATCAAGTTTGTGTTTTACATTATAATCTGGATTATATTCTGGATTTAGGCTGCTGCTTCAGATTGAAAAAGTCGAAGAAATCTTCCTCCTGTGTGCTGTTCACCAAATGATATGTAGTAAGCAACAAAGATATCAAGATTTGAATTTTAAAGCTTAATCACTTGGTTGACATTTGATAAATGTGTTAAAAGCTCCCCAAAATGTGTCTAGCTATTGAAAGTAACTTTCCATTAAAGAACAATGCACAAAGGATATTGTGCTACAAGTAATGGAAATGTCCTCTTTTCTTATATCAATTCATTTCTTTAAAGCTTGTTATAATAACCATTGATAGATAACCATATTGTTCATTGTATGATTCCCCAGCAAATCGCTGATGCCATTCCTTGTAATCATTATGTTTTCCTTTGTCTGGCAGATGCCTTGATTATGTCTTAGAAGAGATCCGGCACAATCGTAAAGCAAATGTGATGGTAGCCTCTCACAATGAAGACACAGTGAAATTTACTCTGAAAAGGTAAAACTTCTCTTTACCATTTTATAGAGTTATATAATTTACCACCTGTAGAAATCCATTTAAAAAGCCCCTAGTGCAGGGGCTTGTCAGCTTTACAAAAGCCTAGTTCTTTGTTAGTAATTGGAAAACGGTTTGCACTGTCCCTATTTATTTGCCACATGAACAGTAAAGCTGTACACAGGGTTTTGGGTAGATGGTTTGCCAAAGATCTACTATCCATTGACACGCATGCATTTATCCTGTTTAGGGCTTATCATGCCAGCATTTGCTGACCCTTGAACGGCAATGAAGAATGTACCTCCTATACATGTGGCGGTGAATATATTGGCTTAGATTGAAATTACCTTTTTTCACTTTCCTTATTTATATTATGCCATTCAGAGTAACATTCACAGAAGTCCATGCTCCAGAGCAGTGGTTCTCAACCTGTGTAACCTCAGGACCCACATTCGCCCTCGGTCCTTAAGTCGTGACCCAGGTCGCATTGAAATGGAATGCACAAGAACTGGAGTGGATCCTCAGCTTGGGGTCCAGTGTGGGCTGCTGTGCTGTAACGTAGCTCCATCCATATGTACATTGCTTGTACAGCTCCCTTGCGCGCCCTGTAGAGGTGCCGAGAGCCAGAATGTGATGTCACTCTGGTACAGGCACCTCCACGCAATGCACGTTTTGGATGGAGCTCCCTCGCGGCCATACCCCCAGTCCACCTCAAGCTGACACTTTGCACCGGGCAGCATATTTTGAATTGCTGCTTGGCGTGAGAACCGTCAGTGCTGCACTATCAGACGGCAGAGGAGCCTCTCGCCTAGAAAAATGGAAGGAATGCGGTAGAGCTGCAGCTAACAATTATTTTCAAAATCGATTAGTTAGCCAATTATTAAGTTTGATTAATCGGATAAAAAATAAAATACATTTTAAAAAATGGCTCCAGTGATGGGACTTCTAGTTTGTATTGAGATTGTAGTCCATCACAGAATCAAGCTTGGAGCGGTGGAAGTAAAAAAGAAAAAAAGTGTGGTGTGCAATGTAGTGAAATGAAAAGGGTAAAATTATACAGTAATGAATGCAGAATGGCACCGGCACCGGCTATAGAGGACTACCAAACCCAGCAATAGTACATTATACGGTGCAATGCAGAATACCACCAGCTATAGAGGAATACAACAAATCCCAGCAATAGTACATTATAGCTGGTGGTATTCTGCATTGTGCTGTATAATGTACTATTGCTGGGATTTGTTGTACTCTATAGCTAGCGGTATTCTGCATTGCACCACTGTATAATGTATTATTGCTGGGTTTTGTAGTCCTCTATAGCTAGTGGTATTCGGCATTGCACCACTGTATAATGTATTATTGCTGGGTTTTGTAGTCCTCAATAGATAGTGGTATTCGGCATTGCACCACTGTATAATGTATTATTGCTGGGTTTTGTAGTCCTCTATAGCTGGTGGTATTCGGCATTGCACCACTGTATAATGTATTATTGCTGGGATTTGTAGTCCTCTATACAGCGCAATGCAGAATACCACCAGCTATATAGGAATAGAACAAATCCCAGCCATACATTATACATACAGTGTATAATGTATGGCTGGGATTTGTATTCCTATGTATAATATACAGCACAATGTACCATCAGCTATAGAGGAATACAAATCCCAGCAGTACATTATAGAGCACCATGTTTGGGAAAGTGCAGGCTTACCTGAGCAGTCTTCCAGCAACTTGCTTCTGAGATCGGGCCTGTCATCCCCCCGCATCTGCTCCTCCTTACTACTTCTCTCCGCATCCCTGTGCCAATCGTGGATGTGGGCGGGCGGTGAGCGTGAGGCGGGGAGGATGTGCGGCGTGGATGCGGGAAGGCGGGTCTGGCAGCGGGGAGCATGAGGTGGGGAGGAGGTGCGCCACACAGCGTGTGTGGAGCCGTGAACGCCAACTAATCAGAAGCCGTTGTCAACTTTTTCAATCATCGATTATGTTGATTAGTTGTTGCAGCCCTAGCATGCGATGACCCACTGAACACGGGGTCACGACCCACCAGTTGAGAACCAAGGCTCCAGAGGGTATTAAAGATAAATCCAACCCTAAGTCCTTTTCCAAATTTAAGCTATTTTACACCTGCAATGCCACCCCTGACAATTGTGTTCTGCAAAAAAAATCCATGGAAAAGCAGCATTATACTGTATATTGTTTGGTCGGCAGCTCTAGGTTTCCTCTATATACAGTCATCTGAATATAGACATAGCAGCGAGAATGCTAGTTTTTCCACCTCTGGCACTGTGCTCATTGCTGGCAGTCGGATGAAACTTGGAGCTGCCAAGTGTCTCATAGCTTCTCTTTATCAGGTAAGGTTATAAGACGGTGCTTGGGAGGGTGGGGACGCTGTGAAAAATAGATAATGTTTAGACTCTGGTTTAGTTACACTTCAGTATCTATACATGTCCCTACAAACACATACTGTCTATGGCCATTTTAATAGAAAGTGGAAGTAATACTGCTGTAACGTTTTTGATTTGCTGGAGGGTTTTAATCAGTTGGGATTTTTGCTGGGAACTGAACCCACAACCCATTGCACACACAGCATTTGCCTAAGGTTGTAATGCTAACCACACACTTGAATAGCTGGCAGCTTTTTCCTTTTACTTTTTATGTTTTGTTTTTTTAGCTTATGCCCATTCAAATTATCATTTCCATTTTACTGCAGAAAAAAGGAAACCAATTTGTCCTAGTATTTTCAGCATTGGATCCCTATAATGACACAGGGAAACATTCGTGCATATGGTATTTCGTTTTGCATGCAAAGTTAGAACCGCGCATACCCAGTATTGGAAATACAAGTGGGAATAGTTTCCTGCAGACCCAAATGAGATAGAGGCACCTTTGGCACAAATATATTATGACAGTCTGACTTCCAGAACAGGGTATCAGAATGCACATAGTTATTCCAAGACATTAGATGTCACAGTTCACTATTTCTAGGAAGAGTGAATCAAGCAGGGTTATTGCCTTACCATGGCCATACCACTACTTTAAAAAGAAAGGAAAAACTGTCTGCATTTGTAAACCACAGTTATGTTTGTTTGGGACTCCAAAGCCAGCAGAGCACTATTTGATGACTTAAAAAGAAAGAAAAAATGGGGGGGAGGGGAGAGCCGATCACCTGACCTGCTAAAGTCATGTCTTTTCCAAGTTCTCGTGTTATTTTATAAATGTGCCTTAAATGCAGGCCTCAGTACAGAGCAATCTTGCAGAATATAATAGAGAGCATATAGCAATATCCACACTCCGTTATAACTCGTCTATAGTATTAAAAAGGAAAGCTCCTTCTCAGGTCACCAGGCATCATAATCTATTCACGGGTTTTGTCAAGTGTCAGACTCTGATGCAAGGCAAACATAGCATTCTTTCAAGGAAAAATAGTAAGCACATAAGACATGTTTGCATTAGGATACCATTCATTTACATTGCTTTCTGGTAGCAATGCATTGCTGAGGCATCAGTAAAATGCAAGAGAATGTTCAATACAATCCTATATAAACATAGTATTCCGTATACTTCAAGAATGCTTTACAAATGTACATCAGAGGCAAAACACAGACTTCACTAGCCCTCAGGGACATTGGAAGTGCATACCACCTTCCTATTACATAATAAATCTATTTCAATGATAGACCTTTACCTATTCGGGGCAGTGAAAGTCATGCACAGAAGGATTCCTTTCACATTGCTGAAGACATTCTGAATAAAATGGTGATACTTGGTAAATATATTATTAAAATGAGGACATTTTGTTTTATTGTCTGCTTCATGTAGAAAAATAAGTCATTAAAATGCATGATGTTACAGAGATACAGATATTTGCAGATTGCTGTGTTCCATTCTCTGAAATTACTTTGAGTCTACATGAAGATTTTGAAATCCTCTTTTATATTTTTCTTCTCAGTAATCTTTCATGGTACACAATCCTATAAATCTGTTTAGGTGCACTGTAAAATACATGTAAAAAGGTAGTGCATCTATCTTATGCTAATATTATCTTCATACTCTGACAGAAACTGCTTACAGGCTCATTACTCAAACAATGTTGGACAAATGTTGTAGCCACAATTCTTGTTAATGTGTCAGCTCTGATGTATCAGGTACAACACATCTACTCTAGAATTATTGCCCTTTGCTTACTCTAGATCCTAGATTCCTAGATTTGTAAATTTAATTATCCTTTGTTGAATACATTATAACATGGCTGGTTTAATGAGCCGAGTGTATTCAATGCTGCAATAAAGTCAGCATTTTTTTTTTCTTTTAGAAATTTGCAAAATGTACAACACACAGTTAAACCAAGACTAGTCTCTGACTAGGAAACATCTTGACTGGGGTTTGTGGTATTTAATTCCTGTATGGCTTGCCTTAAAATTGCAGCTCGGGTCCCTGACCTGACTGGTGACCGAATCTTTAACAAAAGTTGGTACCATCTGGAGATTTTGCACCGACGCCAAATGTATCCTGCTGGTGACAATGGAAATGTAGAGCCAATGACTTGACTTTCACGTGCATTTATTCCATTTGGATATTCTTTTTCCCATCTTCCACTGTCTGATATATTAGTTGATTCTAGGTTGGACAGTTTTTTGTATTCATAATCAGCTAGATTATCAGCATATTAAAACTGGGTAAGACCGAACCCAAGAGCCAAGTAGTTGCAGCTCAGAATTACAGCAAGGTCCTAACTATATGTGAGCTTTTTCTTTTTTGTTGTTGTGAGAGGAAGTCTCTATCAGACTGAAGTCCACATTAATTTCTCCACCTCCGAGACTCTGAAACAACCGGAGACAGTGGCCCTGTGTATGCATAGCCAGCTACCATTGCTGTATTTGAGAAAATACTCTATTATGCAGTTGTATTCTCTGTGTCAAGCTCTATGGCCATCTCCTCCCTGAGCTCCTGATTATTAAATGAACATCTAATACAGATGCTAAAGTTGTGTAGATTTTTGCATGTACTATATAAAAAAAACTACTTTTTATTCCTTGTAGAATGAACGAATTGGAAATTTATCCTGAAGAGAAAAAAGTCTATTTTGGACAACTGCTCGGCATGTGTGACCAAATAAGCTTTCCACTTGGTAAGAGCTAAATTATAAGCCTTAATTTATAGCATCACATTTATTGGTCTGGTCCTGGGATAGAGAAACTGTAAAGGCTTTTAGGGACATTTTGATTTCAAGTTTAAAAAAAAAGAACTTGGCAGAATTAATCTTAACCCTTGCAGTGCAAGGGTAGCACCAATGCAAGGGTTAAGTGCTCATTTTCGTCTAGGGACACAAATAACAAAGTTATACTCACCTGAACCTTGGAGCCAGCTGGCTGCTAGACTAGTGCCAGCAGCTTGTCTCCTTCACTTCCAGCGATGGAATGTCCCTCAGCGTCCTCATCTACAATACACTTTATAGAACATAACTCACAGGAACTTAGACTGGTCCCTTCAGGCTCACTCCCCCTTTGCTCCGGCAGTCTAACCGCCAGCCAGCTGCCAAGGTTCAGGTTAGCACAACTTTTTATTTTCATACCTAGACAAAAACAAGCACTTAACCCTTGTAGTGTGGGGGTAGCCCCACTGCAGGGGGAATATTTATGCCTAATGTTTTATATCTTTTTGGGTTTAATACAAGAAAAGGATTTTCAAAGCCCTATGGTTTTCCAAAGAGGGCATAGCTTTAGTCTTCTCCTTTTCTCTCCCGTTCATTGAAGGACACAGGCAACAGATCGTAGATCCTGAATGGTAGGGTAATATCGCCACCTGCAGGAGGACGCTAGGCACAAAACTAAAGACCAATTACAGCCTAGGGGCGGCCCCTGCCGGTGGCCAAACCCCCCACCTGCTGACAAGTCTCCAGTTTTTTGCCTAGCGTCAGGAGTAAGGAGCTAAATTTTTTTTTCCTTTCTTCCGTTTGATTTGAATTTTTTTTCTAGCAAGTGTCCCCAGGGCGACAGGCTGGATGACTGTAGATGCTTGTAGCATTCTCTCTCTTACTTATACCCTGCATGGAGGCATTCAAAGAAAGGAGGATAAGTTACTGCTCTGGCCCATTCACTTGTGCTAGTAAATTTCAGCTTCAGTCATTGAGCTCTGTAATCAGGCTTTTTACAGCAAAGCACCTAAATCTTCATCTGCCGGCTGAATCTAATACAAAATATTCATATGAAGTATTTCATATTGGCCAGATCATCCTGATCATTATAAATATATACAAAGCCATGATATTGAGGTCACAGAGAAACGTCAGCCAAAACCTCTATTCTTATTGTGTTTTGGGATAAGATATATTGAGGAAGGGTTTGATCCTCTGGTAGACACCCCCTCAATTCCCTTTGCAGAGGCCTCAAAACTACATTGTCAATGCACACACAAGAGAAATAGGAAGCTCAGATAATGGAAGTTTTCTTTTGATGTTGCTCAGATGGAAGGTAAGGTGAATTCCCTCCCCCCTGTGAGGTAATTTTGGATCTAATCCTTCCATACACTATGTGAGGGGAAAAAGAAGTTTAATGCAGTTCCACTTTAACTAGATATTTTTATTATGTTCAATCTCTATGCAGAGTAAGATGTTATTTGATGTCTTTAGTATGCAAGGATATAGGTCATTATACTACTAGATGGTGATGTATCTCATTTTTGTATCACTCGGCTGTAGATCCTCAAATCATCTCTGATTTGGTGCTGACTCTGTCCTTCCTTCTGGAGGTTGGCTACTTTTGTTCACCATGGTCCCTTTGTGTGTTGTAAAGTAGCCACTGCTCCAAGCTCAGTCCTCTGATGGACTACAATCTCAATACAAATTAGTAAACTAAATGTGAGATTGTAGTCCATCAGGGGAGCGAGCTTGGAGCCACCCTCCAGAAGGAAGGACAGTGTCAACATGAATTCAGAGATGATTTGAGGATCTACAGCCAAGTGGTACACAAATAAGATACATTTATGTTAATGGAGTAGTTCAATGCACTTTTAAGGCTTAACTGCTGAGTTCAGTGGCACTTGAATTCTCTGTTTTCTTAAGTAGAACTGAAAAAGAGAGTTGTTCACACATCTACTGTTCAGCATCAGCCAGGTAAAATGGGTTGGTGCGGACCTTTTAATAAACAATCAAAAACAAATATTATAGAGCCTTCAATAAATTTCACTGATAAGTGTTAAAAAAAGTAACAGTGACCAAAAAAGGTCCAACAGTACAAACATAATCTTTTGAAAGATTATGTATTTACATAATTCAAAGCATGAACCAATTTGTAACCAGCAATTTTACCAATAGCCACAAAAACCGCATCAGAGACTTTATGATCCCTTAATCAAAAATAGGTCATAAGAGTAAAAATGTAAGCATTTTGAATGCAACCTAGATGATGGAAGATTTGTTCTACAGGAGAACATGCAAAATCCATAATTGATTTGAAGTGATATACACAGATTTATCATTTCTAACCTCAACCTAGTACTAGCATCTTTTTAAATATGTGTCATAAGTCACTCTATTACCATTTATGTGATTTCTTGTAAAGCTTTCGTGAGTCTCTTTTCCGTGAATATTATCATCTGTGCTTTAGAAACAAAAGTCACCCCCCAATGTACCTACTTATTTTATATGCATCCAGTTCTGGGAAGTTTTTGAAACTATTACAGTCTTATCCATCACTGTTGGGAACTAATTTGTATAAACTTATTTTAAGTGCCCTTTAAATGGCATGTGAGTTAGAATCAACAATAGTAGTGTTCCAGTACTTCTTGACATTTTACAAGTATTTATTGAAGCTGTCCATTTTCTCAACAGTAGATCTAAATCCTTTTTTTTTTTTTATATTGTGTTTGTGTTACATTGACAGGCCAAGCAGGCTACCCTGTTTATAAATATGTTCCCTATGGACCTGTCAACGAAGTTCTGCCGTACCTATCCAGGAGAGCCCAGGAAAACCGTGGCATCATGAAAGGAGCAATGAGAGAGCGTGAGCTCCTGTGGAGGGAGTTCAAAAGACGTCTGCTCACAGGCAACCTTCTCTACACTCCCAGATTCTAGACAGATGGATGGCAACGTGGAGCTGAGCTGTAAAAACTGACAAGGATGACAGTCCTACAGATAACATTTAAACTAGTTTTGTCATTAACTAAACTAATGTGACTGTGTTTTTAAACCAAATCCATGGTGTTCAGGCTTTAAGGAAATTGCCTTTCCATGAGAAGATTACAACAGAAATTAACCAAAAGACAAAAGTTACACATTAGTTTTCAAGCAATTTAGAAAAGTCTCATACTTTAAATTACTATTTATTTTGACAAAAGCTGCAGCAAGTGGTGGTATTGTTTCTGCAGGCAAAGCTTGATAGGGCCAAACAATTATGGGTAAATATTTGTGGTCTTGGGATTCTTGCAGCCACTTCTATTGCACCAAAATACATTCATTCTGGGAACAAAGTAATGAATGCGACAGTAAATCATAAATCTGATACTGGTTACATATTAGGAGTCGGCAAAGTAACAAGTAGTTTGGTTCAACTGCGTTCTACAAAAAGTAAACATTTCTTCAAACAAAGTTACTTCTTGAAACAAACACAGTTCTTCCCTTGACAGGGCTCTGTAGTCTAATTAATGGAACTGCTTGTTCTGGTTTTGTGATTGTCTCTGTGCATTGGCAACGGCATGTGCAGGCCGTCGGGACTGAAAGGAAAAGGTTATATAAAGTACTCCTGGGATCAAGGACTAGATCAAGAACGGTTTAGAGATTCTTTAGTGTAGTTCCTGCCTTTTCCTTCCCTATACTTAGTGTGGATTTCCAGCTACTCTGTATTCTCTTCATATAACCTACATAATTGTTGCAAAGAGCAGCAGTGTAAGGCCCCTTTCAAATGGGTGGTCTGATCGGATCCGCCGGTCAGTTTTTTAGATGGGCCCGATTGGTTGCCCAATGCCAGTCTATGGTCAGCCAGGTCTAAACCGATTTGGTGTCAGTTTACATGTGGTTACCCCCGGCTCCGGCCAGTTAAGGAAAAACAAACAGAACAGTGTTCCGTTTTGCAGGATCTAATTGTGTTGGATCGAGGGTAATCTGATATGTGTGTCCTTTTACAATTGACTTCACACAGACCAACATGGTGCCCGGCAGTTCTAGTTCTTTCCACCATCACTAGATGGAAGAAAAGACTGGACAGACACGGATGTCACAGTGGCGACATCTGATCAGGAGGGGATCTGTGCACTGAATCCCTCCTGATCAGCCCGTGTAAAAGAAGCCTAATAGCATATGCATTGTTTTTAGTTCCATTCTTTGGTGTTTGTATAATAAGCTGTAGTCTGCAGTATATGGATGCATGTATGTATAGCACCAAATCTGCTCCCTTATAATAGCTTGTTACTTGTTGAACATCTTTAACAGTTCTTGTTATTCTCTGCACAGCTATTGTGTGCAATGTTAACATCTTGTTGGGCAGTATTGTGGGCATATGCTATCCCTAATTAGCATTTTATATCAACAGATGCTATTGTCTATGAAGCTTATAGGTTGTACAGAGATGGCAATATATAGCTGTAAATTCTTTCAGTCTTTTTTCCCCATTCTATTGCAGTGACCTTCACTAATCAAGGCTTGTGTCCATTCATTTAATATTGCTTTATTCAGCTAGTAGTATACTGCAGTTGAAAGGGCTTTTCTAGGCAGTGATTTTTGACACACTGATCTTATCGGCTTCCTGCCTGGAGCTCCCTTTTGGAGGGGCTTTGATCAGGCTTCCAACACTGCTACAATGACATTGAAGTGAAGAAAAGTATATTATTTTTATATAATCATTCAAAGGCAATACGATAATATAATTATTTAGCACCAAACCTTGATTATAGTAGTTAAGAAAAGCCGTATGGGTAAGATAAAAAGTCTAATTGGAGATTAGAAAGCACTTATTTAATATATAGAGAGGTTTTTTGATGACAGCGTTTAATGCAGTCTAATGCAGGATTCAAAGTAGCCCCTGCCATATCTAATTCTTGATTGTTTGGTGAATATAATAGATGTTTAGAGGTTGAGCAGGTTTGCATTGAGTAATTGTAATAATGGAGAAGAAAATAGGCAAGTCTGTAAAAAATAAGTCAAGGCAACTGGACTTGCTGTATTTTTCTTGAAGACGTTTTACTGGTCATCCAACCACCTTTCTCAATGTTGGTTGGATGATCAGGTTCAGAAAGCTATTTGGATGACTAGTGAAACAACATCAAAAAAAAAATACAGCAAGTCCATTTGCCTTGACTTATATTTTACAGATATACCATGACCTGGATGAATGAGAACCTCCACAGACGTAAGTAGGTAAGGATTTCAAAACAAAGTGGAAAACAATCAGTGGTATTTGTTTCCTTAAGTGCCAAGTGGGATTCTTTAGGTCAACTGTTTAAGCACCTATATTTTTTTAGCTTGTTTTTAACATGTACAGTGTCTCATAGCAGCCAGTCAGATTCTGCCTTTCGCAAGTATGGTGAAATCCATTGATTGGTTGCTCTGAGCTTCTGCTGCCTTAGCACAGCTGTTCACCTTATTAAAGTAGACGTGAACTTCATTTTGGGGGTGAGCTTTTGCCACAATCTGCAAGTATCCATGATGTACTTGCAGAATATGGCACAATCCTACTGCTCTGCCCTCCACAGATGATGGATCCAGATTCTTGTCACCATTGCACCCTTTGCCACCTTTAGGAGCCAGAGAACAGTTTTTCTGTCAAAAATACAGGGGGAGGGGGGGATTTTTCAAAACTGGAGCAGAGAGAATCTGGAGCAGTTGCCCACCCATGGCAACCAATCGGCATCTCTCTTCGGTTTGCTCAGGTAAGATTTGAAATGAGAGTTTTCAAATCGTGAGGTCAAATGCAAATTTTATCTTCTTCTTTTAGGTCAAATGCAAATTTTAGATTATGTGAACTAACATACCCACACAGATATAATGTGGACAGGTTTGCATTATTTTCATTTATTTCACCACACACATTGAGGGCAATTTATCAAAACTGGAGTAGACAAAATCTGGAACAGCTGTTCATGCAACCAATCAGCTTCTCTCTTTCATTTTCAAAGCTTAACTGTACAAACTGAGAAGAGAAGCTGATTGGTTACTGTGAACAACTGCTCCAGACTCTGTCTGCTCCACTTTCGATAAATTCCCCCATTGACTTTTTTATTTTTAGAAACTGCTGTAGCACAATTGCATTCTAGGTGGGTGCAATACCTTTCATGTTTGTCGGTAGGTTTGTGGGCATTGGGCAGTATCCATGCACCTTACTAAATGCACTGAAAATATACTGCACCCATCCTAAACATACTTACGTTCTTAATGAGCTAGAGCTTTATGAAAGCTTAATATGCATAAAATAGAAAGCACATACAAGAAAGAGTGTATTACTACTGACTAATTATATTAGACTGTTACAAATAAGTAATGGTGTATTGATATTAAGGCTGCTTGTGTTTTTGTACATATTTAATGCAGTGCATGCACTCCAGTTTTACCTCTGTCAATTTGTAATACTTGCTGGTTATGGTGCAGAGCAATCAGATTTAATTTTTCAGTCTAACCGAGTATTTTGTATTTGCTAAATGTTAGTTTATAGATGTGTTGTGTTGGTCCAGTCAGGGCTATTGCGGACAGCAAGTCATGTCCGCCCATCTGCAAATTGGTGGATATGTGTTCTCCACTTTAGAGCACAGAATGTAGCCAATAGCAAAAGTGAGCCCATAATGTACTCTTAGAGAATGGGGTACTGCTGAACTTGCATGTTCTTGTTCAGTAGTGCAGTATTGTAAAGTATAACCCCAATTAAGTCTTAGCTATTTAGTCGTTAAGGAAAATCTGTCATGGAGGCGGCTGTTCTGAGGTTTCTGTAAATGCTGATTCCCTGGCTCATACTGACTCTGGCATCAGCACTATGATCCATTGGCCCTGACTAAGATTGAAGATAAGGAGTTACGATTGTGTTCTTACTTTGCTAGCCTACATTTTTATTTCCAGGTTAGTGAGTTGAAGTATTAAGCTTAACAACAAGGCAACTATTACTTACAAAAAAGGGCCAGCAATGGTAGTACCGGCAGTCCCCGAGTTATAAACATCCGACTTACATACGACCCATACTTACAAATGTAGGCTATTACTGTACAGCAGGGGATCCCAGGCTGCAGCTAAAGTGTACCGCGCAGCATGTCAGTCGTTGTAATGCTACCGCGCTCATGTTGACGAGGAGTGCCCGCCGTTTTGGGTCTGGTTCGTAGTACTGTACGTACATTACAGGAAGTTGGCTCTTGTTAGACGTGCAGACGAGGGGTGCCCGCCTCTTCTTCCGGGTCACTGAGGTTTTTACTGCTGTCTGTGTCCTCATTAGAAAGATTTCCTCTCACTTCTTGTTGTGTCAAGGACAGGAAGTGAGAGGAAATCTATCCCTAGGAAGGGAAGTTCACTCCTGTAAAAGTTATCATGGGAAAAAGGTGTCTCCACTGAAGCTTCATCACCAATCCTTGTTTCCACAACAACCCAAAATTTTCTAAATCCAATTGTCACAGGGACAGGAAGTGAGGTGAAATCTTCTGAACAAGGACAAACGCAGCAAAACAAATGTTACAGGGGGTTAACCGTTCCTGATGCTATCAAAAATGAAAAAAAAAATGTTTTGGCTGTAGTTGCACTTAAAAAATTTACCTGTTCCAACTTGCATTACAAAGTGTTTCCCCTATAGCTTCTGTTATTTTGCACATCACGCCATAACAAATAAGCCTGCTTACCTCCTCAGTCATTGCCCCATTATCTGTACATGTAAAGTATCTGTGTTTATCTATGGATATTACTGATCTCTTTGTAGACATTGAAAACAAAAAAAGTAGTTTGGTCATGTTATCGTGTGTTATTTGTTCTGCTTTGGTTATTTGGCTGTGTTTTCCTGATGACTGTCAAACGTATGCTATCAATTTTAAATAGAAGAATGAAATCTGTTGCTCTAAGGCATTGCTCTAATGATTTATAATGAAATGGGATTCTATAGTAAAGGGTTTATTTTGTATAAAATGTAATGCTTTATCTTTTAATAAATAAAATATTAAAAT